GTAGGTTTTCCACAATGAATGTCTTTTGTTCCGGGTTGTCGACTTTGTATTTGCAGCATACTGAATCATCTGTGATTTTTAAAAATTGGTTTTTTTTCAAAGAAAGAAAAGTCATTTTATTAAGAGTGTAGTAGAGATCTTGTGAAAGAGTNGTCACCAAAAAAATCCAGGAGTGTTTATTCTGAAGGCTTCCCTAAGCCTGTTTTTCTACACATGCTTGTGCCCACTTGGTCTACGCACACCAACACACACAAACACACCTCCTGCCTATCTCATGTCCAACTGTAAACTGTGGGCCAGCTGCTGCCAAATGAACAGCCCCAGAGAGTTGGTCTGATTAGCATGAAGCAATAAGGGCCCAGCTTTGCAGCTTTCAGTGGGCGTGAGACCTTGGATGACAAAATAGGTAAAGAAGCAACCCCACGGGAGGATCACAAATCCCCGCCTCTGCTGGGAGGACGGTGGTAACATCTCTAGGGGGTAATTTTTCACAACACGCATGCAAAGTCTTAAAAATTATAAAGGAAATGAAAAATTATTTAAGAAGTTCAAACCTTTGACTCAAGTAGTCTACCTCTAGGACTTCATTTAAAAATGATTATCATGGATATGGACAAAGATTTATCTAAAATGATGGTGATTCAAAAAGGGCATAAGAGATTGGGCACAGGAAGAGAGAGATTGAGCACTTGGAACTGCAAAATGCTGGAAGATGAATTTTATAGTTTACAGATGAAAAACGCTGTTATCATCCTAAATTGTCCAACAACAGGTGATTTGACATGCATACAATTGGGCACTTTGCAGTCATAAAAATGATGTGGTTAAATAATAACTAGTGATATGAATCAAAAAGCAATTCACAAACTGCATGGAGTAAGATCCCATTTTTATCTAAAAGTAAATATCAGTACAAAGACAGGAACACTTGGATATACACAGAAAACAAACTCTAAATATCTGCTTTTGCATAACATTTTATAAATTAACCTTAATGAATTTTTTTTACTTTTATGTGATTAAAAAATAATTTTAAAATACCCAATTACTAGAATAAGTGGGACACCAAAATTTAGGTAAGGGGGTGAAATCTTCCTAAACCCAAAGCTAGGAGTCTATGGATTGCTCTGAACAGTCTTTACACAGGGCTCATTAAATGCTTTAAACTTACCCAGTTCCTGGGAGTATCCTGTTTTTTTCTCTAATAAATAAGCAACCTTTTTCGTAGATATTCTATAAATTCTGAAGTTGTATCGGACTCCTGGTCTAAACGCATCTAGAGAAGAAAAGTCAACAGGTTTTTAATAACACAAGATGACATCATTGTTTTTAATTCTGAGGGGAAAAAAATAAAAAATAAATTCATGTTCCCCTAGTAATTTCCTTCTCAGGATTTTTGCATTTTGTCTCTGCCATCTTCCCTCCATGTTGCATACACTGACCCATTCATTGTTTTGTATCCCACAAAGCCTGCGGGGATTCTCCTCTGCAGAGTCCTCTAAAGCAGACGTATAAACCATTTCAAGCCCTCTGGCTCCAAATGCCCCTCCAGTCACTTGCCTTCTCTCTTCCCATTCACACCGAGGGTCTCGAAAGCTTTGCCTGCACTTGCTCATTTTCCCCCACACCTGCGCCTCTGCAATCTGTCCCCAGAACCCACCATGCCACTGAAACTGCAGGAGCCTCCATCACCCTCTGGACCCAGACAATCCCACATCTCTCCCTGAGCACCGCAACTCCACCCACCCCTAACCCTGCTCAAGCCAAAAACCTGGGCTCCTTCGGCTAGCAATCTTCAAATTACAAATCCAGTATGGGAGCTGAGAGGTCACGGTCTACGTGTCCTATTAAAATTGAAGGAGCTGACAATTAACTCTATGTCCTAAACATCTTCTGAATCCATGCACTTCTCTTCTGTCATAAAAGCTCTCTGGACAATTGTTACAATGTCCCTCCGCCATTCATCTGAGACCACTAATTTAGAGGAACAAGTTTATGAAAATCATGAAAACTGACCCTAACGTTAGGTCCAGGTAGTCTCTGCAAACGTAGATTTAAATGTCAAATTTTAGAACAGATTCTTGTAAAATTTGAACTCCTAGTACTCACACTGGATTTGTCATTTCAAAATTATTAGCTTAGCACAAAGTATCTGAGAGGTAGTCCAGAAATGCTAGTTGAACTTGCTGCAAGTGGAATAGCAAGATGGTAATATGGAAGGTTCTTCTTACCTGAGCTAATGACTGTACTTGTGGTATTGGGACCTATGTTCTTCCACTGGAAGTCACAGAGCGGGTCCTGGGGATGATCACACCACTCCACAACATAGCCTGTGATGTCTCCAGCCTGGGGTTTCCAAGATATAAAGAATCCATCCTCGGTGCCATTAATTCTTTCTTCTTCAACCTCTTCTGTACATCAACAAATAGAGCAATGCTTCAGATTTAATTAATTGTAATTTTTTAAGTGACTAAATAAAATAAGCATACATGTGCAATGGATCTAACAGGTAAGAGCCCTACCGCTTCAGTGGCTACAGGGGCTTGGGTGGAGGATGTTTTCACAGGTGTTTTCCTGCCTCTCACTTCCCAGCAAATATTCACACCTGACTTTCAGATGCCCCTCATCATGACCTTCTGAGACCCAGCCAGACTTTTGCACCAAGAGAACAGGGGTCGGCAAACCACAGGCAGAAGGACAATTCCAGCCTCCAAGGCTTGTTTTTACATGACCCTTGAGCTAAGAATCATTTGAAGATTTTTAAAGGGTTGTAAAAACCAAGTAAAACAACAAAGAGTATAGAATATATAACAGAGATTATATGACCTGCAAAGCCTAAAATATTTACTACCAAAAAAGTTGCTAGAAACATGTCTGGTACTTGATCTGCTTTCAAAAACTACCTGCTGAATGAATGACTGATGCAGCTTAGTTCCCCACAATAATGTTGGCTGCCTCTGAACTAACTACTGCTTCTGACATGGGGTAGGAACTGAGTTGAGGACAAAAAGAGAACATACGGTTCATGTATGTACTAAGTCAGATCACACAAGCACATGCACACAATTTATAGCTAAGTTTACCACCTCAAAGTAGTCTGTGTGCCAAGGTAGTTTTCCTAACATCTGACAATTGAAAGAAGGGTGACATGCCCTCAAGAGTGACATGCCCGACCATTTCTATTGACTTCATGCAAAGCCACACCTTGATCTTGAGGCATGAGAATTTTTACTATTCCCACAGACTTACCCAAAAACTGATTGATTGTCGATCTGCAATTCAAATTTAACTAGGCATCCTGTATTTTATCAGCAATCTTAATTACAACTGAACATTGGTGTGAAATCACAGTGCTATTAATTTTTTGGGACATCGAATTATTATCCAGCTGGGGGCACCTAGGTATGAGGTGCAAGCCCAAGAAGGCCTTATATATCCTACCTGTAAGGCTTCTCTGCTTTCCTCCAACAAAGAAGTAAATCTCCCTCACATTAAGGCTGACAGTTTTCACTTTGCTGACTAAAATTTAACTCCAAACTTGTGGTTATAACTCTTAGCAAGCTGCTTCTTTAAAACTGCAAATATGTCTTGAGGGATGGAGGTAGGTGGAAGAGTAAGGGGATCTTTTTTTCCAGTCATTCACACCCTAGTGTGAATTAGCTCAACCTTACTGGTTTCTCTCCTCACACGTGAATGACTTTGTACACACTAGTGATTTAAGAATGTGGACCACTAAAGGAAGGCTAGATAGAGCTCCACGTGGGAATGTCTGAGGGTCTGAAGAGCAGGGCATGGGGTTGGAGGGTACGGTAGGAACCCACAGACAGAGAAGACCTCAGAGCAGACAGGAGTGCTCTGCAGTGTTGCTTTGGACCGGCCCTCACGTGAGCCAGTCTTTCTTTTATCTACCAACTCCACGCCCCCAGGCTGAATGAAATGCCCCCTTTACCTGATCCAGTCCTAATGAAGTCCAACTGTTCATTTCCTTCTCTGATATAGTTCTTCCCAAAGCAAAGGTTACACTAAACAACTCCTACAATTTCTCTCCTATGGCACAATACTAATTTCTTTTTCTTATCTGACAGACACTGGGCAGTTCTTTAAAAAAAATAAAATAAAACAAAACACACCCTCTAATCCAGCCCATTTAACCCAAATTTAAGCCAAACTTGAATAACAGGTACAAGACAATCTGCCATAACCTCATAAGCAGGATCTGAAAAATTCACAGCAGGAACTGAAGGGTGACAGTGTTGCAAAGTTCATGAGTGACCTTAGGATGCTAACTGCCAGTTGCATTATGCCCACACGTGCATCTCTCATGGCATGTGACTGTGGGGGTTACTATACCCAAGCCCTTTTGACGACTCTCCAAGAAGGAAATTAATATCACTGTTGATCGTACATGTAAGGTCATTTCCACTGTGTTTGCTCTTTCGCAGCTAAAAGAGATGAGCCAGTTATGATCTTTCATTCTAAAAAGTTAGCAAAGCCCCTCGTGAAAGATGATGCCAGTTCTCCTTATGACCTCTGGAAATCTTCATGGTCTCTTTATAGGTGACAAAGACTGACAAAATTTTTTACAACACAGTAAATGCAACTCATATTTTGCAAGTCACAAAGCACTTAAACACAAGCTCTAATTCTCAGAGAGGACTGTTTATTGGGTTACATTTACTCAGGTAAATTTGAGATAATTTCCCATGTTAGCTGAAGAATCCCTGGTACAAAAATGTCCTGAGCCATAGCTTAAATCTCCTTCTTCCCACACTGAGAAGGACTGTCCCACTGAAACATGGTGACACACCTCTGTTAGCTGAAGAATCCCTGGTACAAAAATGTCCTGAGCCATAGCTTAAATCTCCTTCTTCCTACACTGAGAAGGACTGTCCCGCTGAAACATGGTGACACACCTGTCCCAAAAGAAAATGACTAACTGTTTGGTAGCTAGACATTTTGTCTCCCCAAGTTACTGTCTTCTCAATTTATCCACTGCTGCTTAATAACATCATCATTTTCCTAGAGAATAAAAACAAAACCAAAGAAAAAACAAACTCACCGTTTCCAGGGTCCCCAGAGATGACAATCACCGAAGCGGGAGAAGTGCCAATACTGTTATTGGCTGTGACGTGGATTTGGTATGAACACCAGTCAAGGGTTAGTTGTGTGCCACTGGCCGGTGCAGGAACAGAGAGAAACTTTAACCTGGATGGTTCGTCTAGATTTTCTATAACTACGTTATAGAAGAGGATCTTCCCATTGGCATGAAGCTTTGATAGTGGCTGAAAAAAACATTGATAATCATTTCAAAATGAGCTTTACTATGAAAGGAGTTTGTATAATTACTTTTTCTTCTTTTCTATCCCTCAACTGCCTTACACACATATACACACACATACACACACACATGCACGCACACACACATACTCATCAGCAAATTCAAACAATTTAGTAGAGAAGATAACCCTGTAAGCCAAGCTTGGAATCAGGCATTCAAATCTAACTGAAGTTGAGCAGAGGATCATTTGGGGACGAGATCCTCAAGAGCATAATTCTCGCCGAGGGGAGAAGACAGCGCCACCCAGAGACCTGGGGACAGTCCTGGCCTCACCCCTTCTCCAGTTGTGTCATTCCCATCCTACAGCCCCCTTCTATGTGCTCCATCAGCTTGCACAAAATTCCTGCCCACACAGTCCCAAGTCCACTTCCAGGGCCTGTTCCTCGGGCCATTCTCCCCAGGACAGATCGTGCCCTTGATGTGTGCACCCCTAGACCTGCGACCAGGCTGGGATTGGCTGTCTGCAGAGGGTGTGGACAGAGCCTGGACGTACAGACTGGCGTGTCCACACATGTGTGCACAGAGGTCCTTGCCAAGCTGGAGGTGGGAAGAAAAGTGAGGTGGGCTATGGTCAGGGGCCAACTTTCCCAGCATCACCATGTTAATAGGAAGCAAGGAAGACTCTAAAGTTCTGAGTATAAATCTGGCCTTCCAGATTGCCATGAAGGTACATTCAGCAAGGTAGAAGGATAAAATTTATTTTATGTGAGTAGTACAGTTTTTTAGTTTGATTCATAACTTTTAAATATAAATGAGTGTTTAAATATTTGTAACTTTTAAATTCGGCATGTGGTTCTCCACTTACACCCTTGCCCTGGGCCCTGCAACAGTTAGGAGTGGGTCTGAGTAGAAGTTACAGACAGGAAGGGTCTAACGACCAGAACTGGCCATCAGGGGCTGTCAGGGAAGTAGTCGTCCAAGCATTAGGACACAGATATGGAGTGGGATTCCTCCACTGGGTAAGAAATTCCCATGGAATTAATTAATGTTATAATAATATTAATACTCATATTAATATTAATTAATGCTAAGAGCCTTCCCAGCTGGGAGACTACACCAATATCCACAATTTCACGGTGAAAGACACAGTGGAAGCAAATCCGACTTTTTGAATCTGTACATCTTACCTTCCAGAATAAGGTCACCGTACGAATTCCTGGCTCCGACTTCACCTTTCTCCAGACATCAGGAGCCTCTGAGGGAGCTGAAATTAACCACAGAAAAGAAACGCTCTTGGGTGACAACATGTATGTAGAGCAATGCACTCAACCTTTCTCTAGGTGGGATGGAAACATTACCTGTCCTACCTGAGGTTTGCTTCTCACCTTTTCACTCTGTGACTTCTTTCTACCCACTTGTCCACAGCCATGCTGTTCACTCCTCACTGGATACACATAGTAGGTGTTTTTTTAAAAAAGAGTCACTGCCTCTGAATGGGACACCAAACTGAAAGCCCTTCTACACATTAAGCTTCAGAGCTTCTGGAAATCACCAGAGAATTTTGGAATCATTTGTGAGCTAAACCAATTCTAGGAGGTGAGTTAGTAGAAGCCAAAAAATGGTTTCCTATTTTTTGACTTTCTAAGCAGCAGATCATTGCTACACCCCTGCCCCATTTGTGATGGCTGCAATAGAGGAACACTGGTAGGAGCCCCCTAGGGACAGTTTGCACCCTCCTCCCCAGTCCTGATTTCCCATGGCTGGTTCCCTTGCTGCAGCCACAACCAAGGCCACATCCCAGCCTCCTGCCTACATCTGGGTCAGCTGCCTGCCTGTAGCCACTCAGGGTACCTGCGGCCCCACTCCCTCCACTATGGCACTCCCCATGCTGCTCTAGAAGAGTCTACTTCCTTGTCTCTCTGTCAATACACTGTAGGATCCCTGGGACCAGGGGCCTTGGCTAACTTGACTTTGAAACTCTAGCATCTGGCTCAGGGCCTGGTGCTTTATAAAAGCTCCATGGACACTGTCTGAGTAAATAAAAAGCAAACTAAGAAGGAACCCTGAAAACAACCTGCTTAAATGTCCCAATATTTCTTGTCTCTATCCCATGCTCAGAACCCTATGCAACCTGATCGATTGATTTTGCATCCAAATCTGCATTTGTTTGATCAACTTATCTTGAGGAAGGATCAGAATTTAAATCCAAACCAAGTCTGGGTACCTCTGTATATAAGTGAGGGATCTCATTCATGCACAACAATAGCTCATATTTACAGAGTGGTTACTAGGTGCCAGGCCAGCTCCAAATGTTTTACGCATATTAACTCATTTAATCCTCATAACAACTCTATGTGGCAGGTATTATTATTTACCCCATTCTCTAGGTATGGAAACTAAAGCCCACAGAGATTAAGTTAATTGCTCAAAATCACCCAGATGTAAGAGTGAAGCCAAGATTTGAACCCAAGGTGCTCAGGATCTTGGTCACCACATTATTCGCCCTTAGAAAATGGATGGTTGGGGGCCGGCCCGGTGGCGCACTGGAGAGTGCGCCGCTTGGGAGCGCGGCGGTGCTCCCGC